TATAAATAAATTATTATTTGAAACACAACAAGATGAGTCCACAGCAGACACTCTGCTGGCTGTTGTATTGAATCACACGTCAGACCCTTCCCAAGTGTCTAGGACTGTGATGTATTGGCAAATAATGCATGCAGATCCCAGTAAGGTGGCCTTTTGCAACTGGCAGATAGTAATCTTGTCAGCGCTGATTGTGTTTAAGTGCAGGCCAAGGTCTTGAGGCACTGCACCCAGTGTGCTGATCACCACTGGGACCACCTTGATTGGCTTGTGCCAGAGTCTTTGTATTTCGATCTTTAAATCCTCATATTGTGTTAACTTTTCCAGTTGTTTCTCTTCAGTCATGCTGTCACCTGGGATTGCAACATCGACAATCCATTTTTAACACGATTGTGAAATCAGGAGTATTGTGCTCCAGAACTCTGTCTGTCTGAATTTGAAAGTTTATTTGGATTATCGTTATTATTATTATTATTAGAATTTGGATTATTATTATTATTATTATTATTATTAACCCAGAAAATTTTCTCTTATGTAAGAACCAGTATTTTCTGTGCAGAAAACTAATTTCCTATACAGAGAGCAGGTTTTTGTTTTGTTTGCTTGTTTTTGTGTGTGAAACTGCCTTTTTTGCTCTGCTGAGTAAATGCTCTGCAAAACTTTGGAATACTCACAAGGCTATTATCCTTTGCATCTATTAGGAAATCCATTTTTCAGTTTGGAGATGTTGTTGTTCATTCGTTCAGTCGTCTCCGACTCTTCGTGACCTCATGGACCAGCCCACGCCAGAGCTCCCTGTCGGCCGTCACCACCCCCAGCTCCCTCAAGGTCAGTCCAGTCACTTCAAGGATGCCATCCATCCATCTTGCCCTTGGTCGGCCCCTCTTCCTTTTGCCTTCCACTTTCCCCAGCATAATTGTCTTCTCTAGGCTTTCAGTTTGGAGATGCATAGTTAAAATACTATTTCCATCCATTTTTCAGAATATATAATTATTCTCTTCATGCTCAAACACACATTTTTACAGCACATTATTTATTTACATCCAAAATGCATTACTCATCCTCAGGATTGTGGTGAGGAAGATAAGGTTTGAAATGTACAGCAGAGATTGAGGCCAGCTTGAGTTTCTCAACCTGGGGATCAGGACCCGTGGTGGTGGGGTCATGAGGGGAGTGTCAGAGGGGAGCCAAAAACCACCAGAAAACACAGCATTTCCTGTTTGTCATGTTGGTTCCATGTGGGAAGTTTGGCCTAATACTATCATTGGTGGGGTTCAGAATTCTCTTTGATTGTAGGTGAACAATAAATCCTAGTAATTACAACTCCCAAATGTCAAGGTCTATTTCCCTCAAACTCCCCCAGTGTTAACATTTGAGCACATTAAGTATTCGGGCCAAGTTTGGTCCAGATCCATCGTTGTTTGAGTCCACAGTGCTCTCTGGATGGAGGTGAACTACAACTCCCAAAACTCAAGGTCAATGCCCACCAAACCCTTCTAGTATTTTCTCTTGGTCATGGGAGTTCTGTGTGCCAAGTTTGATTCAATTCCATTATTTTAAAATTTTTAATTATTACATTTGGCCCAGCCATAGGTAATTAAGCGTCGCTGTGTTATTGTTAATATTATTGCTTATTTTCTGCTTATGAGTTTTATTTATTGTTTGCATTACTGTTGCTATGGTTTATTGTTGTATTGTGGGCTCAGCCTCATGTAAGCCGCACTGAGTCCCTTGGGGAGATGGTAGCGGGGCACAAATAAAGTTTTATTATTATTATTTTATTATTATTATTATTATTATTATTATTATTATTGTCGGTGGAGTTCAGAATGCTCTTTGATTTTAGATGAGCTATAAATCCCAGCAACTACAAATCTCAAATGACAAAATCAATCTCCCTCTGAATCCCACCAGTATTCAAATTTGGGCATATCGGGTATTTGTGCTGAATTTGGTCCAGTGAATGAAAATACATCCTGCACATCAGATATTTACGTTACGATTAATAACAGTAGCAAAATTAGAGTTATGAAGTTGCAACGTAAACAATGTTATGGTTGGGGGTCACCACAACATGAGGAACTGTATGAAGGGGTGGCGGCATTAGGAAGCTTGAGAAGCTCTGTTTTATAGCTTTATTCACACTTTATGCCTTGCTCCAGTAGCTATTTCTTCCTTAGACTCCATCATGTACTGCAGTGTTTCTCAACCTGGGGGTCGGGACCCCTGGAGGGGTCGCGAGGGGGTGTCAAAGGGGTCGCCAAAGTCCAAAGTCTGTTGGTCATGGGGGTTCTGTACAGGAAGTTGGGCCCAATTCTATTGTTGGTGGGGTTCAAAATGGTCTTTGATTGTAGGTGAACTATAAATCCCAGCAACTACAACTCCCAAATGTCAAGGTCTATTTCCCCCAAACGCCACCAGTGTTCACATTTGGACATACTGAGTATTTGTGCCAAGTTTGGTCCAGATCCATCATTGTTTGAGTCTACAATGCTCTGTGGATGTAGGTGAACTACAACTCCCAAAACTCAAGGTCAATGCCCACCATACCCTTCCAGTATTTTTTGTTGGTCATGGGAGTTCTGTGTGCCTAGTTTGATTCAATTCCATTGTTGGTAGAATTCAGAATGCTCTTTGATTGTAGGTGAACAAGAAATCCCAGCAACTACAACTCCCAAATGTCAAGGTCTATTTCCCTCAAATTCCCCCAGTGTTAACATTTGAGCATATGGAATATTCGTGCCAAGTTTGGCCCAGATCCATCGTTGTTTGAGTCCACAGCGCTCTTTGTATGTAGGTGAACTACAACTCCCAAACTCAAGATCAATACCCACCAAACCCTTCCAGTATTTTCTCTTGGTCATGGGAGTTCTGTGTGCCAAGTTTGATTCAATTCCATTATTTTTAAAATTTTAATTATTACATTTGGCCCAGCCATAGGTTATTAAACGTCACTGTGTTATTGTTAATGTTCTTGTTTATTTTCTGCTTATGAGTTTTATTTATTGTTTGCATTACTGTTGCTATGGTTTATTGTTGTATTTTGGGCTCGGTCTCATGTAAGCCGCACCGAGTCCCTTGGGGAGATGGTAGCGGGGTACAAATAAAGTTTTATTATTATTGTTGTTGTTGTTGTTGTTGTTGTTGGTGGTGGTGGTGGTGGTGGAGTTCAGCATGCTCTTTGATTGTAGGTGAACTATAAATCCCAGCAACTACAACTCTCAAATGACAAAATCAATCCTCCCCTCCAACCCCACCAGTATTCAGATTTGGGCATATCGGGTATTTGTGCTGAATTTGGTCCAGTGAATGAAAATACATCCTGCACATCAGATATTTACATTGCAATTCATAACAGTAGCAACATTACAGTTATGAAGTAGCAACGTAAACAATGTTATGGTTGGGGGTCACCACAACAGGAGGAACTGTATGAAGGGGTCGCGGCATTAGGAAGCTTGAGAAGCTCTGTTTTATTCACACTTTATGCCTTGCTCCAGTAGCTATTTCTTCCTTAGACTCCATCATGTACTGCAGTGTTTCTCAACCTGGGGGTCGGGACCCCTGGAGGGGTCGCGAGGGGGTGTCAAAGGGGTCGCCAAAGTCCAAAGTCTGTTGGTCATGGGGGTTCTGTACAGGAAGTTCGGCCCAATTCTATCGTTGGTGGGGTTCAGAATGCTCTTTGATTGTAGGTGAACTATAAATCCCAGCAACTACAACTCCCAAATGTCAAGGTCTATTTCCCCCAAACTCCACCAGTGTTCACATTTGGGCATACTGAGTATTTGTGCCAAGTTTGGTCCAGATCCATCATTGTTTGAGTCCACAGTGCTCTCTGGATGTAGGTGAACTACAACTCCCAAACTCAAGGTCAATGCCCACCAAACCCTTCCAGTATTTTCTCTTGGTCATGGGAGTTCTGTGTGCCAAGTTTGATTCAATTCCATTGTTTTTAAATTTTTAATTATTACATTTGGCCCAGCCATAGGTTATTAAACGTCGCTGTGTTATTGTTAATGTTATTGCTTATTTTCTGCTTATGAGTTTTATTTATTGTTTGTATTACTGTTGCTATTGTTTTTATTGTTGTATTTTGGGCTCGGTCTCATGTAAGCCGCACCGAGTCCCTTGGGGAGATGGTAGCGGGGTACAAATAAAGTTTTATTATTATTTTATTATTATTATTATTGTCGGTGGAATTCAGAATGTTCTTTGATTGTAGGTGAATTATAAATCCCAGCAACTACAACTCTCAAATGACAAAATCAATCTCCCCCAACCCCACCAGTATTCAAATTTGGGCGTATCAGGTATTTGTGGCAAATTTGGTCCAGTGAATGAAAATACATCCTGAACATCAGATATTTACCTGACGTTCTTGTGCATTTTTTCGGGCTCTAGGGCCATGTTCTAGAGGCATTTCTCCTGACGTTTCGCCTGCATCTATGGCAAGCATCCTCAGAGGTAGTGAGGTCTGTTGGAACTAGGAAAAAGGGTCATGGGAGTGCCAAGTTTGGTTCAATTCCATCATTGGTGGAGTCCAGAATGCTCTTTGATTGTAGGTGGACACAGATATATAAACCCATTGTCCTAATTCCAACAGACCTCACTACCTCTGAGGATGCTTGCCATAGATGCAGGCGAAACATCAGGAGAAATGCCTCTAGAACATGGCCCTACAGCCCGAAAAAACCCACAAGAACTTAGTGATTCCAGCCATGAAAGCCTTCGACAATACATTTACCTGACGATTCATAACAGTAGCAAAATTAGAGTTATGAAGTTGCAACGTAAACAATGTTATGGTTGGGGGTCACCACAACATGAGGAACTGTATGAAGGGGTCGCGGCATTAGGAAGCTTGAGAAGCTCTGTTTTATAGCTTTATTCTCACTTTATGCCTTGCTCCAGTAGCTATTTCTTCCTTAGACTCCATGATGTAGTGACATCATTCAATCCTCTCTTTCCTTCTCTTCTTCTCCTTGTCTTTGATTCTGTGGCAGAAGTAACAGCAACTGCAGCCTGGAGACAGATGATGAACTTCCCTACGGAGATGAAGTGGATTATAATACTGACAGCTGCTCCGACCAGGAAGGGGATTTCTCCGAGTTGGAGGAAGAAACCCAAGAGTGTCCCCCCAGGGCTGCAGGCAGGACAGAAGCATCAGAAGCCAATGCAGGGCAGGTGTGTGGTCCACAGCCCCGTGGAGCTCACCTTCATCACCAGTCGGCAAGTGGCTGGTAGCAAGTGTGTCCCACTGCTGTCAACACTTCTCTAGGTCTTCAGTGGAGCTGTGAATTCCCAAACTATAAGCAAATGGGTCACTACTTGCATCTATATAATTTTTTTGCTGGTGAGAGTTCCTGTCCCAGATGTCTTTCTCCAGTTGTGTTTGTATTTCAATTGCTGATATTATTATCTAAGTGCCATATATATAAAAAAGGGAATGATCCCTTGCCATGTTTAAAGTTGTGTCCAAATGACCTCTCAAGCTCTCTGTCTTATTTGTTGCCAGAGAAACAGCAACAGAATCCTAGAATCCTAGAGTTGGAAGAGACCTCCTGGGCCATCCAGTCCAACCCCATTCTGCCAAGAAGCAGAAATATAACCCTAAGAAACACCCTTGATCAAAGATTGGCCAATCAAAATAACAGAGCTTATGAATATGGATAGACTCACACAATTGTTATCAATCCACCAAGGAACACCAAAAACTCAAATGGAACGGAAAGCAATTAAAGACTATCTGAAATTAATAAAGATAAAAATAATAATATATAGAATCATAGAATCATAGAGTTGGAAGAGAACTTGTGGGCCATCCAGTCGAACCCCCTGCCAAGAAGCAGAAAAACCACATTCAAAGCACCCCCGACAGATGGCCATCCAGCCTCTGTTTAAAAGCTTCCAAGGAAGGAGCCTCCACCACACTCCCTCTGGGGCAGAGAGTTCCACTGCTGAACAGCTCTCACAGTCAGAAAGTTCTTCCTAATGTTCAGATGGAATCTCCCTTCTGGTAGTTTGAGAGAAAGAGTACATGGGGCAGGGCTCAGACTGCATTGCAGTAGAATCATAGAATCATAGAATCAAAGAGTTGGAAGAGACCTCATGGGGCGTCATCCAGTCCAACCCCATTCTGCCAAGAAGCAGGAATATTGCATTCAAATCACCCCTGACAGATGGCCATCCAGCCTCTGCTTAAAAGCTTCCAAAGAAGGAGCCTCCACCACACTCCCCCCAGGGCAGAGAGTTCCACTGCTGAACGGCTCTCACAGTCAGGAAGTTCTTCCTCATGTTCAGATGGAATCTCCTCTCTTGTAGTTTGAAGCCATTGTTCCCTTGCGTCCTAGTCTCCAGGGAAGCAGAAAACAAGCTTGCTCCCTCCTCCTCCCTGTGGCTTCCTCTCACATATTGATTCCTGGCCCTTATCATGTCTCCTCTCAGCCTTCTCTTCTTCAGGCTAAACATGCCCAGCTCCTTAAGCCGCTCCTCATAGGGCTTGTTCTCCAGCCTTTTGATCATTTTAGTCACCCTCTTTTTCTGGACACATTCCAGCTTGTCAATATCTCTTGAATTGTGGTGCCCAGAATTGGACACAATATTCCAGGTAAAGTGGTCTAACCAAAGCGGAATAGAGCCTGGGGAGCATGACTTCCCTGGATCTAGACACTAGGCTCCTATTGATGCAGACCAAAATCCCATTGGCCTTTTTTGCCACCGCATCACAATGTTGGCTCATGTTTGACTTGTTGTCCACAACGACCCCAAGATCTTTTTCACACATACTGCTCTCGAGCCATGCGTCCCCCAATTTCATTGAATTTCTGCAAGAGAAGGTGAAATGCGCAATCACTTTAGAGGGCACAGTATGAATGTTGTGCGTTTTCACCAAACATCAGGAACTGACAACTGCAGCTAAATGAAAGAATGCCTCTTCCAGTGAAAAGGTTGAATTGACGACCAGGAATCCTCAAAGCATGCCTTCCAACATAGCGCAGATAAAAACTTGGAGACCCCTGGCCAAACAATTTCAGAATGAGCTGGCATTGTGCAATGTTACAGCTCTATAACTCCACAGAATTGCAAAGGAAACAGTTATCTAGGCCAGTGAGGAGGATAAAGCTATGCATCTTCAGCCTCTTTCTTGGTGCATGGTGGACCATTGCACAATTGGAGGGAATGCTGACATTAAAATATCTCAAATTTCTTTCTTAATCCAGTAAAAGTCCAACAATCCAGTTAGGTGATTCCAAGGAGATTCTAGTCCAAGTGATTTTTGTTTGTCAAACGCCCTGGATGTAAACATTGAATTACATTGGAAGGGGCCTCATAAGCTACCAAGTACATCTGCCTACTCAATGTATAGATCTCCGACTAGAACAGTGGTTCTCAACCTGTGGGTTTCCAGGTATTTTGGCCTACAACTCCCATGAATTCCAGCTAGTTTACCTGCTGTTAGGATTTCCGGGAGTTGAAGGCCAAAACATCTGGGAACCCACAGCTTGAGAACCACTGGTCTAGAACATCCCCAGCGAGTAGTTACCCAACCTCTTTTGGAAGATGTCCAGAGATGGTATCCACCACCTTTTTTGGCACTACTGATCTGCTCTTACTATCATGAAATTCCTTTTAATGATGAGACAAAATCTACCCAATACGGTTGTAGATGAAAATATTATGTAAAAGCTCAAAATATGCTTTCTGACCACTTGAAACCTTGATGAGAAAAATCTAGGACTGACCAGAATCTTTGCTATTCAGGATACATTCTGCATAAAATTCACATAAGGTAATTTTATACAGAAAACAATTTATTATTTTCTTCTGCATAGAAAATAATATTTCAGTGCAAAAATATCAATTCCCATTTTACATATGTGCCATCGCGCCTGGGGGCTATATCTCTTAGTGAAAGAGGCGTGGACGTGACATCTTTCCCCAGGGGATTGCTTCTTGCCCTCCTTTAGGAAACTGGAACTCCCAAGGACCAAAACACTGTAGATAACTCAAAATAAGTTTTATTGTTCACAAAGAGTTATCTCTTTAAGGCAAAAAGCTGGAAGTTTCAAAGGAGTGAAGGAAAACATACATTACAGTCTCTGGTTGCCTTGGGTCCAAGAAGTTTTGAAGCTGAGAAGCTTTTCCAGGTCCCTCTTTCTCAATGGCTGTGAATGCCAGAGCAATCCACAACCCCAGTCCAGGTGGCCTATGTTTGAAGACACAAAGTCTTACTCTGCTGCCAAAGGACTGGTTTGAAGGCACTTGAGACTTCCAGGTTGATCTGAACATGAAGCATAAGTCTCAAGGGTAAGAACCTCAGAATTGGTGCTGAGAGGTAACTTAATCAAGGGCTTTTAGAGCCAAGTCTCTCTCTCACGTCCATCTGATAGAAAGTTTGATGGTGGAATGAAAAAGGAAACACTGTCCTGCTCCAGGAAGAGGTGGAGCCAAACAATTGAGGTGAGGAAGCAATATAACTGGTGCAAACAACATTGATTGACAGCTTTAAATAACCAGTCAATCCAACTATACATTTACAGGGTAAAAAGGCAAAATCAGGCATTATACAACAGTTCAAATCTTGCAACTTACAGTTCTACATATAGGTGGCACCACTCGCTCTGTCACAACATGAAAACAATTAGTTTTTGGGGATTTGGTCAGCATAAAAATTGCACCTGGTTGATTTTCTGCACAAAAACCATATTTTCCAAAAAGGAAAGCCATATTTTCTGTGCAGAAATTAATAGTTCTATTGGGGATTGGGATGAATCATGACCTGTTAAGTATCACAACCTATTAGGAAATAGATAACAACCTAATCGGGGTAGCAGAGTTTATTTGATAATTGATGATCGCTGGGCACATAGATATTTTGTTTCTGTTTGAGGCTTTCAGCAGATTTCTTTTAAAGATAAGTTTGTTTACTAATAACTTCCTGTATTTAAAGATACAGACACATTTCTTGTCAAGAGTTACAAACTTCAAAACGTTTCAAAGAGTTTGTATCTTAAACTTATAATCCTTAACTGTTTCTTCAAAAACTATGTTGCTTTGTACGGCTTTCTTTAATAACAGTTTACTTTTGAATAAAACAAAAGCCTCAACAGTTTCTAGCTTCCAACAACAGCTTCTGTGTTCTGAAAGACTTCTACACTCAAGCTCGCTTAAGGCTCAACTGCCTTCAAACAGGCTCAAGGCTCAAGAGACTTCGAACAGGCTCAACAATACAATACAATACAATACAAGTTCTGTATTGTAAAATTATTTTCCACTCATAAAATACATTTTTCCTGCACAAAAATACTGTTGCCAAGACAAACAACCACCTGTGAATTTTGTGCAGAATAACCCCCAAATAATGAAATTAAAAAGACTTTCTTGCAGTAGGGAGGAAACTGCTGAGACTGCTGGTTGCTATCTTTAAGAAGAAACTTCATAAATAATTACTTACTTAGGTTCTTGTGGGTTTTTTCGGGCTATAGGGCCGTGTTCTAGAGGCATTTCTCCTGACGTTTTGCCTGCATCTATGGCAAGCATCCTCACTACCTCTGAGGATGCATGCCATAGATGCAGGCGAAACGTCAGGAGAAATGCCTCTAGAACATGGCCCTATAGCCCGAAAAAACCCACAAGAACCTACTGATTCCAGCCATGAAAGCCTTCAACAATACAATTACTTACCTACTTAGGCGAACCTTCATATTCCGAGGATGATGGTCCTCCAAGGTTGGTGTTCTGGCGGTGGGTCCGTAGGTGACTGTGGAGCCCTATTCTTGACCTGCATGTTCTCCCACCTTGAGGGCATCGGTTTCCAGGTGGAAGGCAGTCCCGGTTGGGGTTGGCTTGACGTGCCTTCCTCTTGGTACATTTCTCTCTTTCGCCCTCCATTCGTGCCTCTTCCAATTCTGCAGCACTGCTGGTCACAGCTGACCTCCAGCTGGAGCGGTCAAGGGCCAGGGCTTCCCAGTTCTCAGTGTCTATGCCAGAGTTTTTAAGGTTGGCTTTGAGCCCATCTTGAAATCTCTTTTCCTGCCCTCCAACATTCCGTTTTCCGTTCTTGAGTTTGGAGTAGAGCAACTGCTTTGGGAAACGGTGGTCGGGCATCCGGACAATGTGGGCGATCCAGCAGAGTTGATGGCGGAGGACCATCATTTCAATGCTGGTGGTCTTTGCTTCTTCCAGTTCACTGACATTTGTCCTCCTGTCTTCCCAAGAGATTTGCAGGATTTCTGATGGAATTGTTCTAGGAGTTGCATGTGACGTCTTTAGACTGTCCACGTCTCGCAAGTGTATAGCAGGGTTGGGAGGACAATGGCTTTATAAACAAACCCCTTGGTCTCTCTACGGATGTCCCTGTCCTCAAAGACTCTCTGCTTCATTCGGAAAAATGCTGCACTCGCAGAGCTCAGGCAGTGTTGTATTTCAGTGTCAATGTTGACTTTGGTGGAGAGGTGGCTGCTAAGGAAGTGGAAATGGTCAACATTTTCTAATGTTACACCATTAAGCTGTATTTCTGGCAATAATTACATCCCTAATGATCAACAATAATCCTTTTCATATTTACTAATGATAAGTATTCCTTATCCTATGTTACCTGTGATTCTTGCGGATTAAATATAGAACTCAGCACATTTTCTTGCTAAATTCCAGTCTGTTGGGTTCAATTTTCCAGTCCTTTTGTGTTTCCTTTCTATTTTCCTATGTGTTTGCTACTCTCCCAGTTTTATGCCATTAGCTCTTCATGATGAAATTGCCTACTTCTCTTTACTTCTCAGTGGAACAGAAACATACAAAAAAACCCATCTCCTCTGCGGTCCATACACCAG